AAAAAAAAAAAAAAAAAAAAAAAAAAAAAAAGAAAAAAAAGGACAGCACAATAAACATAAAAAACAGCACAATCAACATTTTCCCTCGTGTCTGTTTGCAGAAAATCCACGTAGCCAGGGACGCATCAACAAACATCGAGAAGAAAGAAAGGCCATACCCGAAGAGCGAGTGCAAAAAAACACAAGAGGCGGCGGGGGAGTACGAGCCCATTCAAGCGTAAAATTGCCAAGCGGAGAAAAGGAGATGCCGGCGTGGAGGCGCGTTGCCGGCGGTGGTTGTGGCGCAGCCCCGATCTGGCCCTTCCCCTCCCTACCCGCGAACTGAGCCGTTTCCTGCAGCTTCAGCTTTGATCCCGCGTAGTCGAGGGAAGACTGCCGCCAAGATGCTGCCCACCAACATAGCGTCCTTCGTCAAGAAGGTCAGTGTTTTTTTTTAACCATCATCATTTTTTCGTGCACCCTTTCTCCGCCAACTCTTTTGGCAATTAGCTTTTGTATATGTGCCCCCTTGCGTTTTGAGTAAGTGCCGAGAGGGAAACTCTGCTGCTTTTTGTTCTAATTAAAACCTCCCCACTGGGATTTTCTTTTTCCCCCGAGGAGATTGGAGTTGCAGCTCTACTGCAAGCCACCGATAACAACGAGGAGTCTTGTGCTATATTTCGTAATACCATACCTTATTGTCGGAGAAACAGGGTCTACGTAGGAAAAAAAAAAAAAAAAATTATTAATAACCAAATGCCAACGAGAAAGTTGAAATGAAACGAAATAGTAACGTTGCTCTTTCTTTGTGTATCAACCGATGCAAAGATTGCGCTTCTTTTTGTAACAGCGACTGTTTGGTAAACCATATCGTAAAAAGCAGCAATTGAAGCTACTGGTGGTAATTTTGATCGAACGAATGATTACCTTTTTTTTTTTTTTTCTCCTAGACGCCCTACTTTTTATGCTCCACATGTGAAGATAAATCGCGCGCGCGTAAATATCGAGGATCGAAGGAGATAAATAGAGATCGATGGAGGCGGTGGGAGAAGACGCGAGGCCGGCGATTATTGCGGCTCTGCCGGGGCGACAAATTGAATTGCGCGCGAGTCTAGAATCGCATCGCCCGCCCTTTTCCCCATTCCCGTTTTTATTCCGCCAAGTCTTGACCCTGACCGACAGAACATACACGCGTGTGTCTTTCTCCGCTGTTTCGCATTTTTTTTTTTTTTTTTTTGCTCTTCTTCGAGCTTGCGGTGGAGCTTTTGAATTTTAGGGTCTTTTAAAGGTGAAGGCTAAGGAAAAAATAACCTACCCCCCCTGTATATTTGTACCGAAGCAAACCAGGGGGAAGAAAGAGAGTAAAATATCGCTGATGGAGAATTTAATAAAACTTTTCAGTGTTTTCACGCTGAACTTGACTCCCTTCCTCCCTCTCGATTCCCTATTCGTTGCGTCTTCGATGCACGTTCCAGATATACGCTCCGTTTCATTTGCATTCCACTGCTTTTTTTTTCTTTTTCTTTTTTTTTTTTTTTTTTTTTTTTTTTTTTCTGCTCTACGAGTCTCTTTCTCCTTGTTTCGGCTTTTTCCCTCCGAACAATGGTAGTCACGCGGCGGTATTCAAGGGACGCGCGATTGTGGGCGAAACACCGGGAATGTCGTTTTCTTCGTGGAAAAATAAAAGTTCTCCTCGAGGCTGTACTTTGTTCGCTGCTTGCGAGGGAATAGCTGAAAAACAGACAACTGCACGAAAGGGTTGCCTGGCCATGCCAATATGATGATCCGATCGAGTTTTTTTTTTTTTTTTGAAGGTAATCATTATTAATGTACCTCGATTCGTGTGCAGTTAAAATAACTATTCGAGCCTGCAAGCTCTGATGGCTTAGTATTATCAACAAGCAACTTGCAAGGGTATATGAATAAGAAAAAAAAAAGGCAAACGAGCAATCGTGATGTTTCTATTACCATACGCGGTGGGTGATGGCGTGTCTTGGCAAATTGTTTCTTTGCTTCTTCGGAGCGAGGAAAAATATTTGCCCGCACGTTGTACGTGCGAGAACCGGATGTTTGATTATTTACGCGCCGTGGGGGTGGATGTAGGCCCGTGAATAAGTAAGAGGCGCGTGGGCACACAGGGGATGGAAGGTGGGAAAAGCCGTGCAAACGCGGGGCAAAAAGTGAGCGTGAAATCATGAAGGGGAAATCTGATTCGCGATACGCAAGGGGGGATGAGATATCAAAGTGCGTGGTAAGGGAATGTAGGTATGCGTGGACGGGGCTTGTCAAAACCCACGAGTAAGCAAGAAAAAAAAAAAAAAAAAAAAAAAAAAAAAAAGGATCCTGGGAGACTTTGTTCGAGCCACTCTTGTGCTCCTTATCTGTTTCTGTGTTGCTCGGGTTTTCCTTTTTTTGTATTTTTTTTCGAGGATGTTTTTCGTTACTATCCTACATGGTACGTCCAATGGACTCGTTGTCAAAAAACAAGCTCTGCCCTATTTTGCACCAAAGACAATTACTATCACTCGCAACGAGAGGTCAACGAGTATATTGTATGAATAGTGACCAGTGAGAGTGGATCCCTCCCAAAAAATCTGAAAAAAAAAAAAAAAAAAAAAAAAAGTACCAGTAGCCCCATAGCGTATGCGTGTATCCAATAAACACCAAAGCGAGCGCAAACAGCGGAGGCACGACAGGGTGAGTCATACCACGCCCATGCGCCATTTATCCTCCCATCGCGTTTACCCTCGCGTGCAGCGATGCGATGATGATCGAGAGAGAAGGGGGTGGTACGAGGTCGCTAATGATTCTTCTGCATTGGGAATAATTAGTCTAATTAGGCCGAGGGAAGAGCGCCACGGGTCCCGGCCAGTTTTGCGCGCGCGCGTGTTCGCGTCGGTTTTCGCTGTACAGGTGTACAATAATACGCATGTATACACCGGAGGGTTTCTAAAAATGTTTTGTGCCTATCTGAGGGTTGGTGAAAAGGATGCTTGGTTTTTTGAGAGCTCCTTCTTTTCTCGAGACTTTGTCAATATTTTTATTAATTTTTAAGGAATCTTCAGTCAATTATTATTTTTTTATTGTTTTTACTGACTTTGAGGAGCGCGCAGCTCATCATTTAGTTAACCGAGAACTTTGGGTCTCCAATAGCTGGGTAAGTAAAGGACCCCATTGGATGTAGGCTGCTTGAGCTTGTGTGTGCACGTAAGGAGCTTAAACGGGTCACTCATTCCACATTGATTACACGAATGTCCCGAATTTCGTGCACAATGTGATTCAAAGCTTCGGAGCATCATTAAATAATAATAATAATAATACAAAAGATTAAATGAACATAGAAATATGTACAATGTTTGAATTTTCGTGTCAAAAAAACAGGGGACGCATAAGAGTCGCAAATTGTAATTTACCTTCCTGCCTGAATTTTCCCTTGCGAGCCTGTGGAACAAAAGGGGGAGTCGGGGATCACGTATTAACGCAGTGCCCGAAATGGAATACGACCAATTACATCTAGTGAATTAAAAGCCCTCTACACCCATTTCTCCCCTCTGTGCCGATGTTACAGTTATATACCTACCCTATATGAACACAAAACAGAATTAAGCTGGTCCCGGCTGGTGCTTTCGTTTCCGTTTCGCAGTACCTACCCTCGGTATCAAAGACAGATACTATGCAAATGTACCCCTGCACAGAGTGAGTGTGCACTTACTTGATGATTATAGCTATACTGTCCTCCTCCTCCGAAGTATGGGGACAACGTATATCTCTTTTCGACTATTTGGGACAAATTGCCTTCGACTAACAATTTTTCTCCAAATTGTGCTTTTATCTGCAACAAAGGAGTAACTCGTTTGTCTGCTCGAGTGAAAAGACTTATTGAAGGGCCATTTCATCGTAAAAAGAGAAACTGGACCCTTTGGTTTGCGTATCGCGTAGACGACGTTTATTGTTATTTAGCCCCTAAAGCACGAGGGAGAAGAAATGCTACTTTATCCCTTTTTTTTAGGTAATGGCAAAATCCATCTTCTCTTTTCTCTGGCTTCGTAATGAATAGGCAGCGGACTCGGTGAAAATGTCACTTTTCTTGCGAAGGGCTCTGTCGGCAAGTTTTATTAAAAAAAAAAAAAAAAAAAAAAAAAAAAAAAAAAAGGTTAAAGAAAAAGAAGACGATTGAAAAAAAAGCAATTTAGCTTTCAGCGCTTCCGTTTCGAAAATCTTTAGAAAAAGCAATGATAATTTTAATAATCGCGGAATATAATTATTTTTCATTTTTCCACGTTCAACTATTTCCTCCTTCAATTTCTTTGTCTCGCGGTTAATGGATTCGGGTGCATTTTTCGTGCGATGTTCCTCGAGAGAAAAAGTAATAGGATTTCTCAGCTCGAGCTCTCTCTCTCTCTCTCTCTCTCTCTCTAAATTCCTTTGTAAGAAGAAGACTCCGGAATCGGAAAAATTTTTAATAGACGCGCGGAAGCTCCGGCTTTCACAAACGATGCCCTCCCCAAAGGAACATACATCCCCCACTAATTGAAGGAAAAACGAGGCAGGAACAAATCCTCCTGGAAATAATACCTCGAGGCTGCAACCTTAACCTTCCCAAGAACGAATCGTAGAAATCTTGGAAAATCAACTCCCGGTCGCCCCTTTGCACCCTAGACGGGAAAATGAAAATAAGAGCAGATATGACCCCCAGTGGCAATAATAATGATGACGGTAATAACGATATCGTAAAGGTTATATACCTTTGAAAAAAAAAAAAAAAAAAAAAAAAAAGACACTAGCATCTGCCAAGTGAAATAAAAAGCAAGAGGCAATGTATACATGTACTGAAACAGTGTTTGGTAGTAGAGTCGCGGGAAGTATCAGTGGGTACGGGAGTAAGAGAAGCGCGCACCGGCAAGTACACTCGGCTTCGCCCTCCCGATCAATAGCTACAGGTGGCAGCCATTTCCCAGCTGCTTCGTCCGCCTGTCCTGACTCCTGGGCTACGCACACTTCCTTCTAGTATCTCCCTCTATCTCTCTCTTTCTCACCCTCTACCCCTGTTTCCACATAGCTCGTTTGCTTCTTCTGCTGATGACGATGCTCTTGTACGTAATATCCGATCCGAGAGCTAGCCCCACCCCCCCCCCTCCTTTTATCGTTCGAGGGCCGCGATTAGGCGGGTGCTCGTTTTTCCTTGTTACGAGCCAATTGGAGCTCGAGATGATTTTATCTTGCTCTGTAAGTACTTGTTACGTCGTTGCGTCCCTTTATCCTCGTTACTATGATTTATCGCTGTTTACGATTAAACAGACAAAAAAAAAAAAAAAAAAAAAACTGTTGACCTACTTTTTTTACAAAAAGAGGGTGAAGGAGTTTTTTTGGCGATTTTCTTATCTGCAGTTACTTTCCGGGACGTTTCACAGATGTAAGGGCAAAGGCCAGAGGATAAGAG